TTCAAACTCAAGTCTCTAATTTGAATCGATCTTGAATTTTAGTTCAAGCTTTATAGTTTATTTGACGAGCCAAGCTTGAATAGTTAGATGTTTGACTCGAATCCACCTCTACTTGGTAGGATCACAGCTTAATACTGTTATAAAAAAAAATGAACTTGACTCAAGTCGAATTCACCCCTACTTAGTGGGATCACAACTCGGTACTGTTATAGCAAATAGTACTTGACTTGGCTCAAATCCATCCCTATTTGGTGGGATCACAGCTCGATACTGTTATAGAAAAATGAACTCTAACATGATTTAGGATTTGTTTGGTTTGCAGTCAGAATTGGAATTCTCTGAAATCAAAATCAAAATGGTCCATTTCAATAGTATGTTTGGTTAGATAAGAATGAGAATAGAAATTGGAATTAATAGGAATAGGATTTCATTCCCAAGGGAGGAGTTGGGAATGGCCAAAATGAAAATGGGATTTCCACTCCACCCAATCAAATAATTGAAATTAGAATAACCCATTCCAATGCCGATTCAAGACCTCTATTCTCATGAATCAACAGAGCCTTAGTGGAAGAAGAAGTTGAAGATGAGCTGTGGAACGTGGACTGATTTTGTTTGATGACGCAACGTCTACGTGCATTAGAATTGAATTGTATGTATGGCTTTATGGCTTTTATTTGTTTATAGAAGTTGGCTTTAGGGCTTTTCTTTTCTTTTAAAAAGGTCATAGCTGAGCTGGGTTAGGGTAGATACAGCCAGTGAGCCATAGCAAAGCTGAGACACATTAGGGAGTGGGGGACCACGCCGTTACAGGGCCCTGAGTCAGACACGTGGGGATGGGGGTCAGTCATTGTCCTCACTCTCGCACTCCAACGGCCAAGGCCAGCCTCGGTCACCGCTCTGCCCAATTGACCTATAAACAAAATTATCTATCCCTTACTATTCTACAAATCTACTCTTCTTTTTTGTTTTGATGCATAAAAATTATCCACTGCTTGATAAGTTAAAGAAGGTCTGTTAGGATGTCCAGGAAGAATTTGAGATATATGGAGTGATGCTAGACATTTGGACGTGCTCCTGTGTCTTTTTTTGTTTGTTCCTTTAATTGTTTTAGAATAGGTCAATAATTGGTTGGAGAATATCTCGGCCAAATAGTTTGTTATTCTGTTAAATTGTTAATAATTTGTTATTCTGTTAGTTTGTTAATCCCTTAATTAGGGGATATTGTTATTAGTTTGTTAATCCCTTAATTAGGGGCTGACTTCTTAGTAGGCAGTTAGGAATTTTTTGTATTTAAACACCACCCAACCAGGAGGGGGCGTTGAAGTTGAATAAAAAATCTTGTGGTTTGTTCTCACCCAAAGAATAGCATTTACACGTAATTGCTGACTGGGACCTATCACTGTTCTGCCCAATGATGAATCATTCGGTTTGCAATAGATATATGAAAATCCCATCCTAATATATCCGTTGATTAGGGCGGTGTTTGTGCCTAAAATTCTTTATAGGAATTTATTTTGAAAACTGAGAAAAAAATACTTTTTTCTAATTTTTTTATAACAATTAGGCATCACATAAGCCAAAAAATGTCATTTTGATATCTTTCTAATAAACATTTTTTTACGGAATCCAAGACATTCATTTTTCTTAATAAACGGATAAACCAAACAAAAAATGAAACAGTGTTATAAGAAATGCTTATTTGGTATAATTGAAGCTATTTTCCCGATAAATGACGATGATACTAAACACCACTTGTTTGGCATAGAATTATTTTACCTTTAGTTTGCATTTGTTTTCGGTATAAATATGGATCAGTATAAAACTCCATTTCTGGTTCATATTTTCATGCGTTTGATTGGAGTGTAAGTTTTACATCTATTCATATATGATTGAATTTTACATCGATAATCGATATAAATACTACATCAATTTTATTGATGTACTTTTACCGTAATTATCACAGTTTAAAAATTTCAACAGTCACTTCCATTGGCGTTGAACTCCATCTATGTACTTTTGCATCGATCACAATTCACACCAAAAACTCCAACGGTCACTCGTTTTAAACCCATCGGTGGATGATTATGCAAAGTTGATGGTTGTGTTATGTAATGGTGAATCACAATAGCAATATACTAACTAAACTAATTAAATTTGTCCAATAAAAGGATACATAGGAGCACCTATCCAATTGAGATCTCCTATCCATAAGAATCTTAACACAAGACATTACAACCATACACAAGGAACATCTCCAATCTACGATAACATATAAATACAGGAAATATTCTTAATATCCCCAACTATAATGATGTGATTGTAGGCGTGGAAGGGTTTGTGAGTAGGAGATCCAAACACCCCAATATCAATAACCCGAGACGGGATCTACTTCTCACACATGGGCACCTGAGGCACATCCACTGTGCATTGGGAATGTCTCCCATGAATAATAATTTATAAATATGAGAGATGTTTCCAATACATGGTAGGTTGTGCGTGTAAGATCGGTATGAGGAACAGATCCGGTCTCCAATAACCCACGTACCTCTTTTATTTCACAGCCACTTGTACAATTGTACATTGAAAATATCTCTCCATAAATAATATATACAAATACGAAAATATTCCCCATACACGGTTGCAATTGACTGTGATTACATTGTAAACATGATCACGTGAGGAGTGAATCCGATCTCTTCCAATAATAATGAAAGAGGATGTTATGACATATCAATGACTATTTATGCGGGATCTAAAATTCTAAATCTAATTATTGTTCATATATATAATTTAGTTACTCTTTCTGCCGTTAATGCTATCTGCTTGTTAACCGTTGGATCGGCTGTAAAAGCTGGATTATGTCCATGCAAGATCAGATGATCAGCTTGGTGAATTTGGTGTTGATGCTTGACAGAAAGGCTGGGAACTTGGTCTCTGCATAGAAAACGACTGACACATGTTTAAAAAACTTTAAACTTTAAATCATAGGATTTGTACTCCTTATCACTCAAATTTCTTGAATACTAATAAAACGGTTGGATTTTACTCTAATTAGAGGTTAAATTTAATGGGTTTGATTGGTCAATTACATGAAAAAAATATGTCTATACACATGTCTTGAAAAATAGTTTTTTTTTCTTATTAAAATTAATTTTTAATTTATCCTACATTAAAAATTAGAATAATTGTTTTGAGTTTTTTAATAGGAGTTGATTTACATTCCTTAGATATAAAGAGAGTATGGAGGCTTGTTACTGTGCAACATGGGTACACGCATATATGTGGTGCAATGAGGTGCTTTAGAAGCGCACTTTGCTCACACCCATGTGGTTCACGAATGATAGTTTTGACTTTTGGTGCAAAGCTGATCATTGGTGTAATTAATGGCTATAATTCGATCAGGTGAGATCAAGAGACACCATTCAAAGTTAACAGCCATTAATTGTTAACTATCTTTTAACATTCACAAATTTTGAAATTGTGATTGTTCAATGAGTCTTTTTTGAATTAGCACATTTCTATGCTCTATGACTTCAAAATTTATTTAAGAAGCATGAATCAAGCATTTGCTACTGTCTCAAAGAATGTTTATTTAGAGATTCTTTAACTTTGCTATTTGTAGATTCTCGCTCAAGGCTCATTGTATCTTAGGATGGATTTGCCTGTAACCCAATAGCAAACTCAATAAAACTAAGTGGGAATAAATAACGTTTTAAAGGCAGCGTTTCAAACATGCCCCAGGCTTCTCTTTTAAGTTTTAGTGACCCAATTTCCCAACAAAAACTGGAGAACTATAATTATTGTGTGTGGACAAACATGCTGAAAGCTGGTATATATCATGTTCTTGCTCCTCCTTTTTACTTTTGTTGTCTCCATCACGGCGTTGAAACTTCCAAACACCCCTCTCTCTCTCTCTCTCTACAGTACCAGCCAATTATGAAATAACAAAGTGAAAAATAAGAATAGCTATCTGAACCGACAGTTAACTGATATATATATATATATATTTTTTTTCAAATTATCTATAATATATATCTGAACCGACAGTTAATTTAACCGACAGTTAAATTAAAAATCCGACAGTTAACTGATATATATATATATATATTTTTTTTCAAATTATCTATAATATATTATATTACTTATTTTTTACTATTTATAATATAATGCATGATATATATTTTATGCATTTATTTATAAAATATATATATAAATATAAAAATTCGAGAAACTGAAGAACTAAAACCAGTCAACTAATTATTCGATTCAGAGATTTTAAAAAATCGGTAATAGTGGTTGGTTTCAAAAAAGATATCTCACAGTTCGAATACCCCCCTTTGCACGGTTTGATTTCCAACTCACTTTTTCTACCCATACACTCTATCCATCGTAATTTGCAGCGACACATCTCACAATTGAAAAGGGCGACATGTGGCTGCAATTCACGGCGGATAGAGAATAATGCGCAGGAAATCCGGTTTAGGTCGTGCCACCCATACTATAGTAGGTCATGCTGGCACGGCCTGGGCCAGCAGAGGCCCATATAGGCCTTAGCCGTATCGGTTCATAGACGGCCCGACCCGTTTTACACCCAAACCGCTGTATCACAAACGGCAAGACACGAACACGATGGGGTATAATTGGATAAAAAATTGACGGGACAGGTAAACATCAATTCTTAAATGTAGTTAAATCGAATGTGAAGGAAACAAAGCCAAGCCAAGCCGAATAAGCCGGATTCGGGGTTGGTGGATTTACCGAAGCTCTCTATGATGAGTCTCGACTCTCGACTACCTCGATGGTTCGTGAACTGTCATTCTCGCCCACCGAATCCGGATAATCCTGGCCGCAAGATTTCTCCTACCCAACGGTTTGGATTTGTTAGTGTAATAAATAACAACCGTTGGATCTGGATCCCACTCAGCATTGCAGCAATGAGCAATCCCGTCCAACTACACGGGCTCCTGAGACCGCTCCTCTATAAATATGGGACCGAGGCCTTCGGCAAAAGTCGTGTTGAGTTCCGCGAAAGAAGGCCGAGGTGTCCTCTTTCCGCAACCCAGATCAGATCTGCAGCCAGTAACAGCTTTAGGACTCTACTCGCTTCTCGGCTCAGGTACCTACGTTTTTTTCACTTTTCCTATATCGTAGATCTTCTGCTACGACGGGCTTCGAGTTGTTTTTCTGACTCAAAACTCGCCGGATCTACTTTGGTTCTATGGTTTACGGTACTTTTGGATTGATTTCTTGGAATAATCTGTAAAACCCGTTTTCAGACTCACTATTAGACTTTTGCTCAAGTATAGTTACTAATGCTTTGCTGGGAGCAAGCATTTAGGTTTTGCACGGTTTCTCTTAAAAAATTGTAAGATCCGTTGGTTAATATGGGGTTTGTCTTCAAAGATGCATTTAACAAAGAGTTTTGTACTCGTTACAGTGTTCTATCCTGAATTTTTCTCTCTGTTTTCTGCTTCTGTAAGTCGATCTGGGGTAAATCTTATGCGAAATTCAGCTTTCGCTTGATTTTTTTTAGCTGATAACTGTTTTGTGTAGGATCTTTTGTTTTGATGCCCTTTATTTGAACCAATTGATCAACAAATTCGTTCGCTTGATTTTCATTTCTGGGGTCCTTCCTGAGAGAACATTGTTTCCGATCTTACTAAAATGCTCATTGAAAAGGGGATCTGATTTGTCTGTTGCTCAGTTTGGAAAGAGTACAAATACAAATATGTACAGTGCAAATAAATACAAAATACAAGGTTTTGCACTCTACATATTTGTATTTATATTCCTTCCAAACCGAATGTTTCCCTTCCAACATATTTATTGTTCCTGATTAGTCTTAGGGGTCTGAAATCCGAAGTAAATTGCTTCTTCCAACCCCTGCCTCTCCTTCCCGTAATTAAATGCCTCTTATTTCATAGCTTGTTGCAATAGCTTAGAAATGCTTCTGTAACTTAAATAGTACCTTCATTTTCTAGTTGCTTTTGTGATTTCTTGATTGTGGTTGGTCCAATTATGTTCGAAGCCTGTTGTTTCGACAAAATTTTCGCCGTCCATGTTTGACAGATTGTGCTGTCCACAGGCTTTCTCCATGTGACATGTTAAGTCCATACAGCTATGTCTCCAGCTCTGTAATTCTTATGGACTAAGTGTCACGCTGGGAGAGCCCTGTGAATAGTCTGTCGAACGCAGACAGCTAATTTTTTTTCCTTTTCCAGTCATTCCCCGCAAATTTCTGGCAATAATTGTCGGTCTCTTTCCTAGATCTACTCAAGAAAAGATTTTCTTCTGAAAAGATTCTGACCTGATTTCCCACCGGATTTTTGGTGGTTGGATCTAACTTAAACCATGTGTCTTCGGATCTAGTTCATGCCCATCGTCAAGATGTGCCTAGGAGGTGTGTTAGCGTGCTCCGATTCTGCGAATATTTTTCTCTCCAGTTTTCTGTTTTGAGATTCCTTCCAACTGCTTTTCCGAAATCATGCCGGATAGAATCCAGACTTTTTCTTTCTCTTATTTTATTCTCTGGGAACATACGCTCTCTTGTGCTTTTGGTGAGATTCAAATAATCTGGTCTATGACTATGTGTCTAGCTTTACTTTGACTTTAAATTGTATTAAAGTTAAACTAGTCAACCAATTTCTGTATCATTGTCGAATAATGTGTGGGGCCTGTGGGCTAGGCTACAGGCTACTCATGGGGAATCTCATTTTCTTTGAATAAGAATTGCTGAATTGGTGCGTTTGTTCTGGTGCATTAACTTAACATACGAAAAATTTTGCCGCAGTTTAGACAATGGAGACATTTCTGTTCACATCCGAATCCGTGAACGAGGGCCACCCCGACAAGCTTTGCGACCAGATCTCTGATGCGGTGCTCGACGCCTGCCTTGCACAAGACCCTGACAGTAAGGTGGCATGCGAGACCTGCACCAAGACCAACATGGTTATGGTGTTCGGGGAGATCACAACCAAGGCGAACGTAGACTACGAGAAGATTGTGCGTGACACCTGCCGTTCGATTGGGTTCGTTTCTGATGATGTGGGTCTTGATGCTGACAACTGCAAGGTCTTGGTCAACATTGAGCAGCAGAGTCCAGATATTGCACAGGGCGTCCATGGTCATCTCACCAAGCGCCCCGAGGAGATCGGTGCTGGTGACCAGGGCCACATGTTTGGTTATGCCACCGACGAGACCCCTGAGTTAATGCCCCTTAGCCACGTTCTTGCCACCAAGCTGGGTGCCCGCCTCACCGAGGTGCGCAAGAACGGTACCTGCCCCTGGCTAAGACCCGATGGTAAGACCCAGGTTACAGTTGAGTACCACAACGATAATGGTGCCATGGTTCCCATCCGCGTCCACACCGTCCTCATCTCCACTCAACACGACGAGACCGTCACCAATGATGAGATTGCAGCTGACCTCAAGGAGCACGTAATTAAGCCAGTCATTCCCGACAAGTACCTGGATGAGAAGACCATCTTCCACCTCAACCCATCAGGACGATTCGTTATTGGTGGGCCCCATGGTGATGCTGGTCTCACCGGAAGGAAGATCATCATTGACACCTATGGTGGATGGGGAGCACACGGTGGTGGTGCCTTCTCTGGCAAGGACCCAACCAAGGTGGACAGGAGTGGAGCTTACATTGTGAGGCAGGCTGCCAAGAGTATTGTGGCCAATGGGCTTGCCAGGAGGTGCATCGTGCAGGTGTCATATGCCATTGGTGTTCCGGAGCCCTTGTCCGTCTTCGTTGATACTTACGGAACTGGAAAGATTCCTGACAAGGAGATTCTTAACATTGTGAAGGAGAACTTCGACTTCAGGCCTGGAATGATTGCCATTAACCTGGACCTCAAGAGGGGTGGCAATGGCAGGTTCTTGAAGACAGCGGCTTACGGTCACTTTGGAAGAGACGACCCTGACTTCACATGGGAGGTGGTGAAGTCCCTCAAGTGGGATAAGCCCCAAGCTTAATGGTCCACAATGTTTTTGTGCTCCTATTCCTGGTTCCTGCCCTGTCTCTGTCCTCTCTTCTTGCGTCGTCTTACTAGGCCCCCACTCCAGTAATCTTATTTTGCTCCATCCCCATCAGCACCTGTGATAAATAATTTACTTGGCTGCTCTCAAATCTGTAGACCCATGTTTTACTTTTACTGTGATTGTGAGTTGCTCTGCTTTGTTTTTCCTTCTTTTTTCTTTTTTGCATTTCTTTTCTTCGTTTTGGTCTCGGTCTTGTGGAAAAATATGGATTTTTGGCTGTGAATTGAAAGAAACAAGTTCTAGAAAAGAAAAAAGGAATAAAAAAAAACCCGTCGCCTTCATTCCAATACCGGCATAACGAACGGCATCTTTTAAACGGTCAAGTGTGGATTCAGGGACGCGGCTGTACGGCAGTATATTTATTTACTCGAATTCTTTGAAACTTGAAAGGATCGTAGTTACTAAGATGGTTGGTGGTAAAACTTGAGATGACCATCAGGGAATGCGTATCATAGTTCTTCGCGTTTGGCTGCATGATACGCTTTTCTACCAGTTTCCACTCCCATCCCTAGGGAATTTCTTTTTATGTTTTGTTTCCCAAACATATACATATAATTATGTGTTTCAGCCAAGTAAAGCCGCATCCGATAGTGTAAGGTGTTTCCATGGAATCACATGAGTGGATTTTCTGCACAACATTTAGGCCTTAACCACATTGCCAAAGCCAAAAGAAGAAACCAGGCAGCTTCAATCCATCAGAAAAAGAGATGTGTAAACGAGACTGCAATTCTGAAAGAGTAGATTTAACCCACCCCCCTCTTTTTCACCGTCAACATCAATGTACGCATCGATATACTAAAAACTCAAAAAAAGTAAAAAAAATCAATAATATATAAATTTTAGATTATTATAAATAAACAATAAAATAAGTTGAGTTTTGGGCTAGTCATTCCACCCTTAATAATACCTACCAGCGCGCATATGCATCCATATTCACTAGGTCAGTTTGGGAGTACAAATATGTACAGTGTGTATATTGCATTTCTAAACCTTACATTTGTATTTATAATCACAATCCCCAAACTCGTATTTATCATTTTGTACAACTGTATTCCAATTTCCAAGATCTTAGCAAAAAGCATGCTTAACATACATGATGCACAAGCAAAAAGAAAACTTTATTTGCACATTTAATCATCAAAGGAATCGCTCAGTAATTGAATCAACAGGTAATGATCCTAAAGGAATGGATTCCTCTTCAAACGAGTCACTAAAATAATCCTCATCTTCTCCCTCACCACCAAAGTTATCCTCATCAAAATCATCACTTCTGACAGCATCTGCCTCTACTCCATCTGCATTCGCTGCTTCCATGCCACTAGTATCTCCAGTAGAAAAAACCAATGCTGAATATGAGTGTTCTGTGGCCTGTGAGGTGCAAGAAAATGCCTCAACTTTGTCCAGAAGAGCATCGGGACCAACATCAATATCATCCAGCATAATTGCCTTCCCCGACTCTATTGCCTGCTTCCACAAGGACATCATTCTATGGCTTGATATCTCTGTTTTACGATCAACTGGTCTTGCATCCTCCACCTTGCCTGGAAAGCCCAGAATTTAAAAAAAAAAAAAACAAAAAACAAAAAACAAAAAACAAAACAAAAAAAAAACGAAAGAAAGAAAGAACAGACGTCAGAGGTATTTCATTAATATCTGATAGTAGATAACATGTACATTATCTGGATGGACAGAAAGGTGCTGCGGCCATTACTTAAACCAAAAAAGGAAAACACAGCCAAGATAATATCAGGTTCAGGTCCATGGACTAGAAGAAAATAGGGCAAAAATGCCTTTTATGGCTGCCTTTCTGGTCCCAATTACTAGTACAGAAATAGGGTGGGTATTCCCCCTCATTACTTTCCAAATTGACCAAGGAAGAGAATCAACTGATGATTGTTTTATGCCAACAAATTCATAAAATCTAAAGATCAAGTTACCTATCCACCTGGGTGTTGGGATAATAATTGGGCTTTACCCAGATTTCTCTGGGTAGGATCATGTGATAATGTAGATGATGCATCATTGGTGCCAGAAGTATCAATTGACTTGTTGATATCTACAATTTGTTTACATCGCTGTTGGCATAAATGCAGATGTGTGCAAAATAATTTATCCTTTGTCACTTTTGACACCTACCAGTACAATCCAAACCAGATGAGATACCACTGCCAGTGCTGTGATCTGCAGACATTGATTTCCAATATCTGCCCCTCCACATCAAAATCTGCTCATCATCGAAGGACAGTAGAACACAAGGAACCAATTCCTGTAAACTGACAAAATGCAGTGAGATAAATAATAAGAAAAAATAATAGAACTGCATCAGTTTTATTTACTCCATTCTAAAGAAGGGATTATTCCTGTTCATGTGGAGGCAACTAGGTATCTAGTTCTACAGGGCACAACCATACAAGGTATTGGTCTTAGTTTTAGTCAATTCCATGTGTTTTTTTCTTTATTAAGAACATGTCCACTGAATACGCTATGTACATTATAAATTGTATATGAAAAGGATCACATATAATTATTTTGTGATCTCTTCTTTTTCTTTTTCTTCCATATTTTCTCTTCTTTATTTCCACGGGGGGGGGGGATCCCTGATCATGGACCAAAATTTCTCAACTGGACTAAGTCAAAATTCAGCTCTGAATTCAGTAAAAACATCAACTAGATAGCTTGTCTTTTACAACTGGGCTCTAGGTTATAGAAGTGTTCTACAGATTGAAAGGCTTAGAGATGTTGAAAAGAAAAGTGTCGAGAATGCTTGGTGTGTTACTGTTCACACCAAGAGACTTTTCATTTTACTTCACAAGCAAAATTACAAAGGTGCCCTTGAATAGGCGCCCAAATACAAATATTCATAAAAGGACAGTAATGCCCTCACACTCTTAACACTTCCCCTCAAGCTGAGCATAGATATTCATGCCCAATCAGTGCTTTAAAAGTGCAAGGCGCAGGGTCAATTTGTGCCTGAGGCGCAAGGCGAGGCGCACACTTTTCTGAAGCAACGCACAAAAATACAAAAAAATGCTAAAAAATAAAAAAAATGTCAGAAAATTCAAAAAATTAAAACACTGCATAAGGTAGACAAATCTCTCCACTCGCAACTCTTTCTCTAATGAAATGTTGATCAACCTCTATATGCTTTGTATGATCATATTGTACAGGGTTGTGGGCTATGTTTATGTCAGCTTGACTGTCACAATATAATATCATTGGAGTATCAATCTGCACTCCATTTCTGTCAACAAGTTCTTCAGCCACAACAATTCTGAGACCCCGTGCATCATAGTTCTATACTCTGCCTCTGCACTAGATCAAGCCACAATTGATTGCTTCCTGCTTCTCCAAGATACAGCATTACCACCCACCAAGGTACAATAGCGAGAAGTAGACCACCTATCATCAATAGAACATGCACAGTCAGCATCAGAATAGGCCTCTACCTTCAAATGCCCATGATTAGAATACAACATCCATTTTCCTGGACATCCCTTCGAATAGACAAGTATTCTATTCAATGCTTGCATATAAGATGATTTAGGCTTGTGCATGTATTGGCTAACCACACTTACAGCATATGATATATCTGGTGTAGTCAAACACAAGTAGAGAAGGTGACCGACAAGTCTCTGATACACATCTTTGTCAGGAAGGACATCTCCATCATCAATTCCCAACTTATGATTGGGATCAATTGGAGTTTTAGTCGGTTTACAATCCAATTTTCCTACCTCCTAAAGCAAATCAAGGACATATTTCCTCTAAAAAATATAAATGCCCTCTTTGACCTTGCAATCACAATCCCTAGGAAATACCTGAGATTTCCAAGATCCTTAATTTCAAATTCAGTAACAAGGAAAGACTTCAATTTAGCAATCCCAAAGATATCATCCCTTGTGGTAACAACATCACCAACATAGTTATTTTTCCATTTTCTCTCCTAACAAACAGAGTATGGTCAGCTTGTGATTGTGAGAAGCCAATTTTTAAGACAGCTTTTTTGAATCTGTCAAACCAAGCTCTAGGGGACTGTGTAAGGCCATAAAGGGATTTCTTCAAACTACAAACTTTTCCTTCACTCCCAGGGATGTTCACTCCTGGAGGAAGTTCCATGTAAACTTCTTCCTGAAGGTCTCCATTAAGGAAGGCGTTCTTAACATCCATTTGATACAAGGGCCAAGAGTAGTCAGCAACAGAAGACATGATATTTTGGATTGAATTCATCTTGGCTACTGGAGCAAACGTTTCCTAGTAATCAATGTCGTAAGACAGAGTGTACCCTTTTGCCACAAGTCAAGTTTTAAACCTTTCAATTGAGCCATTAGCTTTATGTTTCACTGTGTAAACCCACTTGCATCCAACAGGAACTTTGCCTTCTGGAAGAGAAACAATTTCCCATGTCTGGTTTTTTTCAAGTGCCTCCATTTCCTGGTTCATAGCATCCCTCCAATGAGGAAACTGCATTGCCTCAATAACACTGTGAGGGGTAAAAGCATAAGCAATAGAAGAGATATGGGCACAAGGCACAATAAGAGGGTGATAAAGTATCATAAGAGACATAGTTTGAAATAGGATACTTAGCACATGTCTGTCTTGTTTTATGAATTGCTATAGGAAGGTTAAGGTTAGAATCTATAAGAGGCGGCTCAACAACAGATTCAACACAGGCATTAGAAATAGGAAAAGGTTTAGAATCCAAATTACCCGAGTCTGGGAGGTTAGATTGTAATGGACATTCAATCTCTGGAGTCATTCTCTTTTTTCGTTTGACGAACCACTAATGCCAAGAGTGAGGAATAGGAGAAGGCAAAGGAGGACTATTACCACCACAAGGAAGAGGAGAAGAAGGATTGACAATATCAGTTGCAGGAATTGGCATACAAAAGGGAGTCCGATCTTCCTTAGCATTCTCCCCTTGAAGAGAAGGACGAGAAACGGAGAAGAAGGGAGTAGACTGAAAGAATGTGATACCTTTGGACACATACCTTTTTCTATAACAAGGGTCATAACAATGACACCCCTTTTAGACTAAAAAAATATCCCAAGAAGACACACTTGATAAACTTTTGATCAAATTTCAGCCTAAAAGGACTCATGTCATGGACGAAGCAAACACACCCAAAAACCTTGGGTGGAAGATGGAATGTATCCTCATCAAGAAAAAGAAGTTGATGAGGAGATTGGAGATTAAGGGTCCACGAGGGAAGTTTGTTAATAAGATGTACAACTGTTTAAACTGATCAGGAAAAAAACGATATACAGTCGTTTAAGCATCCCCCCAAAACCAAGTTGGAACATGCATTTGGAATAACAAGCATCTGGAAACTTTAATCACATGTCTATTTTTCCTCTCAGATACCCCATTTTGTTGGGGAGTATTGAGGGTAAGAACTCTGGTGAACCACTCCTTTTTCTACAAGGAAGGTTTGTAAGTGCTTTTCAAAGTACTCCTTTGCATTATCAGATCTAATAATCTTGATCTTCTCAAACTGTGTCTTCACCATATTGAAGAAGCCTTTCACAATTGAAGGAACTTCATCTCAGCTCTTCATCAAATACAACTAAGTATACCGCGAGTAGTCATCAACAAAGAGAATGAAATATTTATAATCATTCATACATGGAATAGAATAAGGTCCCCAAGCATCAATTTGTATTAAATGAAAAGCAACATTACTTCTTTTGTTACTTGCAAAAAAGGTGGTTCTACATTTCTTTGATATTTGACAGACTTCACATTGCATACCAGAACTAGATTACTAGACAAGGGACTCGAACAAACTAAGAAACAAAAACTTCAAAGAACCAAAAGAAACATGCCCAAGACGATGATGCCACAATTTCAATTGACTTAGCTTCTCATCATGACAAGACTCAAACTGACACATCAACCCTAACATTGGAGACTGACCAAGAAGATAAACTCCATCAACTTCATGTCCACTGCCAATTGTCTTCCCCATACTTAGGTTTTAAAAGACACAATGAGATGGAAAGAAGGTTATAAAGCAATTATGAGACTTCGTAAGAGAACCGAGTAGATAAGAGATTTTTATGCAATTGTGGATATGGAGTACAGAGTTTAGAGATTTCTATGTAATTGGGGTCTGGGATCCATTGGCAACGGTAATCTTGCCTTTCCCTGAAAAAAGTCTATAAGTGGTAAAGTAGGAAGGCATACCAATCATATGATCACTGGCTCCTGTGTCAATTATCCAAGAGCTAGAGGGTGGGGTATGACATGCAAGTGCAATACTTGATTTTATAGAGGCATTAGAAGAAGCAATTGCACTGGCAGGTATAGGCAACCCGCTCTTTTCAAGATAGAGTAAGATGCCTCTCAATTTTTCCATCACATCAGAGGTGTCATGAGTAGATGCCGGAGCAGGAGGATTTCCCTCAAGCATGCGAGTCTAAGAATCATGACTTGCAAGTTGCAGTAGCTACATAAGCATTTACTTTCTTTCTAGTTTTAAACTTCTTAAGTTTCAAGTGGGATTTAGTTTCCAGCATCAATCCTTGGTATGCTTCGGCTTCTTACAGTATTCACAAAATACCTCTTCAGGTTTACCAAAACTTTGCTTAGGCTTTGTGGACACAAGAGTAGTGTGCTCACCTACAGACGCTTGCATCATAACATTCCTTCTACTGTACAACAGTATATGTGTTGCCTGGTGAAGTCATAATCAGCATTCAGCCCAACAAGAAAATAAAAAAACTTGGCTTCTTTCAATGTACTTTCTGTACTGTTCAGCATCAACAGGATCCTTCCACTCCGAAGCCTCAAGATTTCTCCCCCTGTCGCATATACATGCTTCTCTTCGCAACTGATAGATTATAGCAGTGTTTTTCACTTAAGAATAGTTAGCCTATCCCAAATATCTTTAGTTGTTGAAACATATAGTTACGGGCGGTGTGTGGCTACATAGAGCATACAAGCCATGACATAACTAGTAGATTATCCTGCTCCCATTTGGAATAGTTTGGATCTTCAGGCTTCGGCTTAGCTTCCTTAACGGTAATAAATTCAAGCTTACTTCTTCCATCAATTGTAAGCTTGGTTGATTGAGACCATTCAAGAAAATTTGTTCTATCAAGTTTTACAGTAGTAATCCGCCCTCCAGCATTATCATTGCTTCCCGGGAGAACATAGGTAGGTAACTAGGTACGAGGACGTCTTTGTGTGAGTCCATCAGTCACAACCTCTCCAAAAAAAAAATATTTCTCACCAGCGTCACAATATTCCAACACTAATTGAACTCCCAAACACCTTTCCCACAAGGTTAGATACGAGTTACAGCTAAAAATCTAGGAAAAGTAGGTGGTGGCGGCAAAACATGGGAAGAAAGAAAGTTCCCAAAAAAAGTTTTAGGGCTCCAAAAAATTCAGGACTACTTCCTGCAGCCCTAGGGGTTTACCATGACTCAAACACAAGAGGTTTCAGCAGCAACCACCCACCATACGAGCATGCAAGCCCTAAACTCTAGATCTGGATTTTTCGCCAATTTTCATCCGAAAAACCTAAAACAGCTTCAAACCACCATGATACTTATACCAAAATTCCCCTAAAATCAGGGCGAACCAATGACCATCAAAAACCCATGAGGATGCTGCCGACTGTACAGATTGCTGATGTCAACCGACGGCATGCTAACGTCAGAAGGTCTGTCTATGTGTCACGACCAGTAGCAGATAGTTTCCTTGGTCGTGCGGTGCTTTGATACCAAGTTGAAAGAAGAAGAAGAAGAAGAAGAAGAAGAAGAAGAAGAAGAAGAAGAAGAAGGAAATTACAAAGGTGCCAAGAGACTTTTCATTTTACTTCACAAGCAAAATTACAAAGGTGCCTTTGAATAGGTGCCCAAATACAAATATTCATAAAAGGACAGAAATGCCCTCACTCTTAACATATAGAAAGACTTCTAACAGGCTGAAAAGCACAAACAGGTTCACTATGGAGTATAAACAAAAAGCAACCAGAAATTTAAGAAGGAAAACTAGATAACTTAGAGAAGAATTAAAGAAGAAACAAGAAGAGCTCTTGTATCAATTATATCCACTGAACCAGTAGTGGAGCATTTGAAGAAATGGATGAAAAAGATGAAATTTCTAGTTGGTTTAACATTGGTGCAATCAACAACAACCAGAAACTCAATGACTTATACAGATCTGAAATTAGCAACAGAGACAGCCAAGTAGCATCCAGTCAACAGGTAAAATACCTGCTATAGAAAATAGACACCCTAATGAATTAGTGCCATTTCAAGTTTTATTCTTCATTTGTAATGGAAAGTAGGTCCAAGTGTTTATGAAAATAAAACATGTTTTCCTTTTGATGGGAAAATATGTTTATTGATATTTACCATATGTTACTTTCCTAGACATGTAAATAAGAAAATACAACTAAAATTATTATAAGGGAATATATCTGAACTTGTAAAATACAGTTAATCAACAATCCTTGACTCCCAATAATTTAGCCAAACTTCTAAAATATTAGAATATATATATGTGTGTGTGTGTGTGCCCAGTATGACCATGACAACTAATTGGGGAAAAAAAAGCTACACAAACCTTAAGTTTGGCACCTATCTTTTTATAATCACTTGCATGCATTCCTGTACAATCGATCTTAACCAAAGTGCTTTCTTCAAAAGCATTTCTAACATCCTTTACAAGGTTAATGTACACTCCATTTTTTGCTGCATTGAGAAAGAAGAGATTTTAGTTATAAGAAATGATGTTGTACCAACTCTAGGGAGAAAAAGAGAAAAAAGTGAAACAAGAGAAATCTCTTGATTATTAAAAGCATAAAATCAGTAATTTATTTGGAAATTAAGCACAAATAAGTACTCAAGGACCACCATGGATTCAAAGCATCCAATCTAACCAGCTGAGATGCAAACGACTAACAGTATCTGAAAAAAAATAATTACCCACTTTGTACTTAGGACTCTGTAAAAAAAGATTCATTCGATACAAGCATAATTAGAAAGATGTTGACAGCTAGGCTTATTGAATATCCAACAACTAAATGGTAGGCAGCTTATTTTGAAATATCCAAATATAAAGCTAGAACTTCTATCTATGTCCAAGATATAAAGGCACTGCCAGCCATAACACAAACAACAAAATTATTTTCTGAAACATTAGATCCCTTGATTGAATTCTACTCTGTATAATGGCTAGGTGAGTGGGAAAAGTAGAAAAAATAGGGTCACCAGTAAGAAGTAATTTGTTGCAAGTTGAAGAATCTAGAAGAGCTAGAGGCAAACCAAAAAGGATATTGGTTGAAGTAGTTGGGACAATGCTTTGTTAAATTAAGTTGAGTTTAGAGGGGCCAGATGAGAGGTAAGATTGGGATAAAAGAACTTGAAATAAACGCATCCAAGAAAACTTTAAAAATAGCCTCAGTAGGTGACAAGGAGGAAAAGTCAACTAAAATGGTTTAGTGATGTCAAGAAGACCCATGGCTTTGCACTATTGCGGAGTGACTTGGCACAAATAGAAAGCTCTAAATGAGCAAAGGAGGTCATAGAGGACATGAAATGAGGTAGCAAGAAATGGTCTAAAGTCATATTATTTGACTGTGAAAATGTCTCTTCATAGAGTGCAATGGCAGAACAGGATTCATGTAGGCAGACCCTAAATAGTAGGGGCAACTGGTAAGGCTCTGCTGAGTTGGGTTGAGAGATGTTTTCCCATTTATTCCAATACAAGTCTTCCATTACAATATCAAAACTAAGTTCACAACTCAAACATGGTAACCATGCTTTCTTACACAAAAATAATTAAATAAATAATCTCAAGCCAGAAACAAGTCACTTGTGTTTTACCTAGTTTACATATTGGCAGAAGACTCTTTCCTTTTGCTCGCAAGTCATCTGCTTCCAGTTTTGTCAGTCCTTCTGGAGCTTCCTGGATAAGTTTTGGATAAACAGGAGTAGCTGGCTTCCAAAGCATTATTGGGTATCTTGGACGAGTTTGATGGTCATAATTTCTACCACGAAAAAGATAAATGACACCACCAACTTGATGTATGATCTTGCCCCCAGCTTTTTCCTGCCATTGCAAATAAAATTTAAGCAGAATTAATGCAGGAATCTTCCCTGTGAATATGATAAAATAAGTAGATCCAATTCCTTTTTCTGATTAATCATCATTAAATTGAGGCTTTATCAAGTATGCAAGGAATAGGCATCTAAGAATATGCCTTTTTCCTTCTTCTTTTTCTCATGGGGGAAGGGTTGAGTGTTCAAAATGGGATAGGAACCAGGAACTAATGGTTGCAAGGGTGAAAGTCAAATGGTTTGTCTTCCTTTCTAGTAAAACTGTTGCTATTGTGGAAAAAATGTCAGAACAGGAGAAATGATAGAAACAAAAAAAAATGTCCGAAATGAAAACTTGAGTTTATCTTCTAAACAAGAAGTACAGAAATACCAGCTGGATGGATTAATCATCCATACCTGAGCAATTATTGCCCAGCATTGAAATTGAGAAAACATTAGAAATTAGATGCTGATCCAAAAATAAACCACAAAACTCTTCTTAAGAGCAAGAAGATGGAAGTAGAAACTAAACAAGTACACAATTTATAGTCTCAAAAAGGAGAAAAAGTGTCAAAAGCAGGACTGAGAAAGACCTATCAGAAAAAAAAGGACTAAGAACAGGAAAATTTTACAATTATGATATCATCATTCCCCATGTGCAGTAATCATATTGAGCAATGGTTTAACCCTTGATCTATACCCATTTGTTCTTGTCATTCTAATTCACCATCTACTACATAAATGAAGTTCTTATTGATGTTTTTGATATATTAGTTGTATTGGAAACACAGATTAAATATCATGGTAGGTTACTAATCAAAAGAAATATCACGGTAACCTTGGAAGTCAGATTTCAACTAGGAAGACTATCTCAAAGGAATCAACATGACCCCATCAAAAATAACATAGGGGAAAGAAGACAAATGTAGATTAAATATGAATTAAACACGTAATGAGAAATCTCTGTAAACCACAAATCAATTGAGTCATATGTCAAGGAATTGGAACTAAAATACCACAGATAAGAATCGTATTTATGTGTTGAAAAAAACCTCAAGATGGTGGCAAACGTTCCGCATATCAACAGTCGGAACACCTCTGCATCGGACCTTACAAACAGGCTGCCGCCTCCAATGGGAATGAATCAACTCTAACATGTTATGGGTTAATCCATCTCTTCCTACAGCAGTGGTAAAAAAAATGGCTTCAACCCAATTCACGAAATAATTAGCATGAAACAATAGTCTCCATTATACTGAGGCGGGAGTGGAAATATCAGACGTTACAAACTTCTAAGCTCGAAACACCCAGAGGCCAGAGCTTCTTACCAAGATTGACTTGGCGATTATGAGACAATAGAGGCTTAACAAGTGCTCGAACCTCCGCTTTGGTTAGAGGCTTCCCTAGTATCTCCTCCCTCGTTTTCCCTTCTTTTGGGAACTCTCCGAGAACAAAAGGCCTCGGCATTTCTAGATGCTTCACCCCCTTCGTTTCCGGGGGTGGTGGATTAAATGAATCAAACAGTGGGATTTTCTTCTTCTTTTCCTTCAATGGAGCCTTTCCGGTCCACGGCCTTGGCATAGTTTGAGGAGCAAATGGTAAGAAAGCAGGTTCTCGGATGGCCAAGGGCTTAACCTTGGGCGTCTCTGAGTAGCTGAATTGAAACTCGAATGGAGCTCCTGGGAGGAGATAAGATACTCCAGACTCTCCAACGACAACGGCGCGATCACCGTCTGATGCAATTACTCCGTCAGAGACGGGCTTGTGATACTTTGTCCGTCGATGAACGGATTTGAAAGCAGGATTTGAAGAATTATGTGAAGGCTGTTCGGATTGGGAAAGTGGTTTCTGCGTTCTTCGGGATTTTACGACTTTGGGGTATTTAGGGATTGGAATTGGAAGGGACGGAGGTATTGAGGCATTGGGCTCATTAATGCCAGGGTTTGAAGGCATTGAAGAGAAACGATTGAATAATCCTGGTAAGGTTGCCAGAATCGACATTCCTAATCTCAGAAAAAATGAGTGCAGGAAAGAGAGAGAGAGTGAAGTTCCGTCACTCCGTTGCGGCTCTTTGGGCTGTGGAATATTTTTGCGGGCGACGGTTATATTCTGACTTCTTGTGTTCCTCTTTATATCTGGCTAATTCGCAGGCTCAGGGACATCTTGCCACGTCGGGTCTCTGGTTCGGGATAGAGTGGATCAGTCGAGACCGTATCTTCTTCTCACAGAGGGCGCCGCACATGCGTATCCTACCATGCATCGGTACTTTTAAGTTATCATTCACGGGAAATGTTCCTAATGCACGGTTGATGTGCATGTGAGGCGCCCAAGTGTGATGAACAGATCCCACCGATTATTAATCCATTCGGGATATGCTCCTCACCTTGCTGCGTGTAAAAAATTCTAATAACCAATCACGAGTGAAATTGGATTCAGTTAAACAAAAACTAAAAAAGCAAACCAAACCGATGAGATCAAATCGAAGGTTCTAGTTAATTGAATTAATTGGTTCGATTTTGGTTTGACATTTTTAAGAAATCTGTTTGGTTTCGGTTAATTAATATAAAAAACTGAGGGTTAACTGAATTCGATCGATATTTATTTATTTATTATGTATATTATATGATGAAGGGTGATTTGGCCCGACCTAGTAAAGAGGGGACACGTGGACACGACTTGATTCATATGATAACTCAGTCTGATATGACCAGTCCGTAACAGATCGAGTTCGGATATTCAACCACCTCGGAACAAGGTCACCTCGCGACAAGGTTACCTCGGGACGAGATCACCTCGGTACAAGATCGCGACAGGATCACCTCGACCCCAAGGCACTTCGGCATTCAACCCAGTTCGGAACTTAAAAGCATCAGCTCGGGGATACCGACTCAAACCACTGTGATAATCCCGAAAATCCCTCCACGGATTCCGAACCTCACGGGATCACATCGCGTAACGGCCAGCCTTATCTCCTGCCCGCCCAGTTCGGGCGAAATTGATAAGTCGTATCAGTTGATAACGTTACCCCCCAATTAAAGCGGAAACGGATCTCATCGTGATGAAGATCCCGGAACCAATCCACAAAACCCGCGAGGACTAAACTATATAAAGGCTCCACCCCCGATGGTTCAAGGTACGCGTGATTTCTCTGCTCTCTAACTCTCTACATTCTCAAAGCAATTTTAGCTCACAACAGCTTACTAACTTAAGCATCGGAGCGACCTCGCCGGGTTAACCACCCCGGGTTCTCTGATCTTATTTCGCAGATCTGCTTAGCTCACCGTCCGACTGGAAGCTAGATCATCCTCCAGCAGGGAGCAGTCAGATTGCGCTACATCAATTGGCGTCGTCTATGGGAAACGCTACAAAAAGCCTTCTCCACACTCAACTCATCTAAATTCAATGGCATCCTCCAGTCACGCCCGGACAGAGCACTGAAATGAACGTCTCTGGGGGCAACCTCAACTTCCGTCTGTCTGCATCAGTTAGTTTACCATACCGCACACTACGGCTGGGGTTCCAACACTGACCATGCCGCAAGCTTCTACGCGGGTAAACGCACCACTCCCCACTATAGTTGGCGCAACCTTCGCTGAACCATCTGTGGTTCCCCCCGGAGTCGGGCAATCCCAGTTCGACGACCTGGTACACTGCGTGCGGGCCATTCAGGTCCAAATGCAACAGGTCCAACAATTTGAACAATACCAGCAACAAGTCTTCTATCAGTTCCACCAGCAGCAATTCCCTCCACTACAGCAATGCCAGCAGTCAATTCCACCCCAACATCCAGCGATTCAGCAGAACCGGCCTCGTGTACAGAACACTCGATCTCCCCACCGAGGCGAGGAGACTTCCCAGGTTCCACTTCCTTTTGGGAGCCAAGTCTCACCTCGCGGTAGGAGAGACGGACATGTCACTCCACCCGCTTCACAGGGCAACATCGGAAACAGGTCTAGAGACACCCAGCCTACCAGAGCCATTCTTCCTCGGCGATCACATCAAAGAAGGTTCGCTCGCAGGTAACCGGTTCGGGGTTTTGGCCGCGAACTCAAGGCAAGGCCCTTCCATCCATGGCAGTCAGCCTCAACATCCAGAGAACCAAGAGCCACCTCGCGCCATAACAGTACCAAACCACACAGATGTTAGCAGCACCAATGCGGAGCCGACGAAGAGACAGCAGTGGAGGCGTCGCAAAGCACGCCGAACCTCAACTCAGAATAGATAGCTCGCAAGGCCCAACTAGCAGGAACAAGTAAAAGGTAAAGAGGAGGCGAGCTCCGCAGCCACGAAGACCGCTCCTCTCCTCTCCGGGTCATCCCCTCTGTCCTTCGAGCTATTGGCGACCTCGATGCCCAAGGACTTCAAAATGCATCCCCTCGACAAGTATGACAGATCTTTTGATCCTAACGACCATGTAGACTCCTTTCAGTCCCAGATGCACCTAGCTGGAGCTTATGAGTCCTACATGTGCGTGACTTTCTCCACCACATTTAAAGGAGTAGCTCGCACATGGTACCAGAACCTCGCGCCAGAAACAATCAAGAGTTGGGTGCAGTTCATGGAGTTGTTCACCTCGCACTTCATCACCAACAAGAAGTGCTCAAGGTCTCAAGAAAGCCTCCTCAATGTAGTTCAAAGAGAAGGGGAGTCCATCAAAAGCTATATCAAGCGCTTCAATGACACCTTCCTACAAATCCTCGATCTAGATCCAGTGGTGAGGCTCACGGCAGCGAAGAAGGGTATAACTCATAGGGAGTTCAAGTGGCATGTGGTGGCCAACAAGCCGAAAGACATCACAAAATTCCTCAACTCGCTAATCAGTTCATCAGGACCGAGGAAGAGATGAATCAGAGGACTGATAATCCAGTAGAAAAGAGAAAAAGAGAAGGTGACAACACAAGAAATGACGGGAACAAGAGAAGAAAGAGTATGTCCCTGACTAGGGGAGGAAACAAGTATGGGAGCCGATCTCCTTCGCGATCTCGCAAGTCAGGTCAGCGTTCCAGAACTCCTCCTGATGAAAGGACGAGCTATACACCCCTCAACGCGAAGCGAGGAGAAATCTTGTGGCAATCAAAGACTCCTCCTATGTGAAGTGGCCACCTCGGTTGAGGGGAGATCCCGCCACCAGGAATAGGAATGTTTATTGTCACTTCCACAAAGACCACAGACACAGTATAGAGAATTGTAGGAACCTCCACAACGAGATTGAGGAGCTCATCCGTCGCGGGTACCTAAAAAAAATCATACAAAGAGAAAACAGAAACCAAGCAGATCGCCAAATAGACCGACAGGGGGACCAAAGAAGAAGTGCTCCCGAGTCCATCAGTAGACAGAGCGAGCAGCCGCCACGACAGTTTCCTGAAGAAAGACCAATCTGCGGAGTAATCAACATGATTACTGGCGGGTCTATCATCACGGGCTGCACTTAGGCAGCAGGTCGAGCTTCAGTTCACGAACTAGAAAACGAAGAGCAGAACTCGCCGAAGCGACCCAAGCTCGAAGACCCCATCTACTTCACGAAAGATGATGCGTGCGGGATCCAATATCCTCACGATGCGCTCTGCTGATAAAGTTGAGGATAAATGATTTCGAAGTTAAGCGCGTCCTAATGGATTCGGGTAGCTCGGCCGATATTCTGTTCAAAGACGCCTTCGACAAGCTGTAGCTCCAGACAAGCGATCTAAAGCCAACGGATACTCCCCTGGTAGGCTTTAGCGGCAAGGAGGTCAGACCTCTAGGGCGAGTCTCAGTACCCATAGAGGTTGGCCCGTGGCCAAATATTGCAAGGTTCAAGCACACATTCTTAGTGGTCGCAACTCCCTCCCCGTACAATGCCATAGTAGGTCGACCCATTACACACACACTACGTGTGGTAGTATCCACCTACTACTTGGCAATGAAGTTCCCTACGGACTATGGAGTAGGGGTGGTGCGAGGCGACCAGCTCGAATCTCGCAAATGCTACGTCGCCGCCCTCAAGGGGAAAGCCAAGCTAGCGGTTGACGTCGAGTTCGAGCGACCTATGGAGTATGCTGAGAAGTGAGCTACACTGACAGAGGAGACGGTTCACATCCCGGTCTCAACAGATGATCCAACTAAGACCCTCCAGATCGACGCTTTGATCGAGGAAC